GGACTATCCTGTTTATTTTGGTCAACAGATGTTTTATCAGATTCTGGTTGGTTTACAGATCCTGAAGTACTGTCCACTACTGGTTTGTTTTGTTCGGTAGGCTCGTTTTCTACTTCGGGAATTTCTGTTGAAAATACATTCTCTGACTGAGGACTATCCTGTTTATTTTGGTCAATAGATGTTTTATCAGATTCTGGTTGGTTTTCAGTTCCTGAAATACTATCAAGTATTGGGTTATTTTGTTCAGTAGTTTCGTTTTCTACTTTAGGAACATCAGTTGGKAACACATTCTCTGACTGAGGACTATCATTATTATTTTGTTCTACAGGTGTCGTATCAGGTTCTGATTGGTTTTCAGCTACCGTGCTACTGTCCACTAATGGCTTGCTCTGTTCAGTAGATTCATTTTCTACTTCAGAAACTTCAGTTGGAGACACGTTCTCTGACTGAGGACTATCTTGATTTATTTGTTCTATTGGCGTAGTATCAGATTCTGGTTTATTTTCAGATCCCGAAGTACTATCTACTACTGGTTTATTTTGTTCAGTAGGTTCATTTTCTACTTTCAAAATTTCAGTTGAAGATACATTTTCTGACTGAGGACTGTCTTTGGTATTTTGGTGTATAGGTTTATTATCTGATTCTGGTTGGTTTTTAGTTCCTGAAATACTGTCCAGTATTGGTTTATTTTGTTCAGTGGATTCGTTTACTACTTTAGGGATTTCAGTTGGTGATAAAATTTCAGAGTGAGCACTGTCTTGATTTTCTATTTTGGGAGGATTTTGATTTTCAATGGATGCTTTGTCTGGTTGTGACGTAGTGTTTGAGTTTTTATCGTTATTACTTGCTGTAACAATCTCTTTTTCAAATACAGCAATATTTTCAGTAGTGATATCTTCTTGAGGATTATCTTGCACGTTTGAACTCTGTATACCACTATCTACAGAATTATCCGCTGATGCAACTGGTAAATTTGTTGTAATACTGTCTTGAATTGCGGGTTTTTCTGGAATTTCGTTATTATTGTTTTCTTGTTCATTTTTCTTGGAAATAGTTGGAGTAGTAGAAAAAATTGAGTTTTCATTTGATGAAGGATCAGATTCCGGTAATTTCATTGATTGTGTTTCGTCGACTAATGTTGGTGTATCAGGTTTTTCTGTACTATCATAATTAGGTTGTACAGATTCTGTACTGACAAAGTTTTCCTGATTTGTTGAATTTGACGTGACACTCGCAGTTTCATGCTTATTGCCTTCGTTTAATTTATTTGAACCATCACTATTTGGTAATATATTCATTTCTCCTGCTGAATTTTGATTGCCTGGAGTATCATCAGACTCCACATCATTTCCGTTGTCTTGTTCGCTTGTTGGTTGGTTTTCTCCTAATTTATTGTATATATCTTCATTTAATGGGAATTTTTCAGCTTCGTTTTCGTCTGAATCACTAAGTGAAATCGATTGWAGCGTTGTTGTGTCATACAAGCTGTTTGTTTCGTTTGCTGTAAAATAAATTTAAAAAATACGCTCAAGTAAATACACTGATAATTCTGAAATTGTTTTTTTTTTTTTTTTAAATATGTGCAACCATTAAAATTAAATAAATAAATATTATAGGCATGTATCACATACCACATTGATAAGAAGTTGGGCAACATTGACCAGCCGGTGGTGTTTCCGGTGTGCAGTCTTTTCCTCTGAGTGGTTCACCACAGTCTTGAACTGCACATACGATATCACCTCTCATACAATAACAATGTTCGCATGGCTTTTCTGAGACCATAGCAATAGACTCTCCATCTCGGTAGGTCTCTTCGTTAACTTGGCAATCAAACGGCGCCGAAGTAGTGGAAAATACTAGTCCTCCATTGATTTGTGGTGTCGATGTTGTAGATTTTTCACTTTCATAATCTATATAAACGTTCAAGATACGATTAATATTACTGCTAAGGAAACATACACGCGCTCACATAATGAAATGTAAATAGTATTTTATATAGTGAGTTTCTAAATTACTACGCTTAACTCACCACAATCGTATCGAACAGGACAGCAAACGCCTTCATGGTATACCGGCCGACAGCCTTCCACGTGTAACGTACACTCTTGCATGATGCAAGCTGTTCGGTTTCTAATACAGTAACATAGTTCACAAGGCTTTTCTGGATTGGGAGGAACCTATTTATAAATGTGAATAACGACAAATATATTATAATCAGATTTTATGGATAAGACAGGACAACGAAACAATAACAGATTCCAAACTTACTTGCGCCCCATCCGGAAAGAATTCGTTTTCATCCATCATGCACCCGTAGTTGTCGTGCCATCCAATTTCGGTCGTTGTCGTTGGTGTTGGTGTGGTTGAACTGGTCAACAGGTGTACTGGCACTGTAACATCCGAACCAACTGGGAGCCTTATTGATGTACGAATTGATAATTTTATTTTTATATTTAATAACATACCTTCTGGGCAAGAAATGGTGGGACAACATTGATCCGGTGATTTCTGTACCGTACAGTCTTGTCCAATTGCTTTTGAAAATGGACACACTCTCAGGTAGCACATCAGCATTCTATTGTGGCATGTACAGTTCAAACATGGTTCGTTGGTCACTATTCGGTCACCTTCTTCGTAGTGTTGATAATTATAGTAACAGCCATTTGGGTCTAAACGTAAAAAAACATATCATAAAAACCTAATAAAATTGTTCACATCGTGTGTTTTAATACCTAGTGAAATATTATAAACTCTTATTCAATATTTAATTAAAACCATATGTATATRTTTCTTRTGAAACGTAATCCAGTTCAAGATTTGATTATATATTAGTTATTACTACTTATATTTTTTTGGTATTTGTTATAAGTATAATAACTATAAATTCCTGAACTTTTTATATTGTATCCTATTATTTTTTGCTGTTTTTATATTGTTTTGTAAAACTGTGCAATAATTTGTACATTTTTTAATTTTTGAGTTTTAAGTTTAATTTATAACTTTATATCTCCGACCCAAGCATAGCTTTCAGGAGATAAATAATTCGAGTGTATAATCGTATTGTATATTTGTTAGTAATAAAACTATGAAAAAAAACTTAYCAGTGCGTATCCAAATATTCCAAATCAATGTAAAATACAAAATAATCATTGAAAAAATATTTTCAGGGATTTAATTTACTGATATAATTGTATTTGAAGATTAAATATGCTTATCCTTTTATAAAATAAAATAATCTGTCTTTATAGTATTTTTATCCTAAGTAAATATTTGAAATACGCATCAACGTATAATCGTTGACACCGGTGTAGGTGTTTTGCATAACCGATCAGCCTTCTTCTGAATATACATCTTCTGTTATATATATGTTATCTGTCTATTATATATCACGACGTTAAGTTAAACGTTTATTATCTTTGGTGTGACATAATTATKTTTTTGCACTTATCAACCATAAAAGAACTGTGAAATAAATTTTTATTTCGCTATAGTGGCTTAAAATTTTAAACCGTCAATGAAAAAGAACACGTTTAATATTATTTGAATTCTTTTTCAACCTCGTGTTGTTGTTAGCTATTCGCCTCGGTGTAGAAAAAAAAATTAATCCACCGGCTTGTAATAGAATAATAATAGGTAATAAAAAGGTTCTTACCATTAAAATAGTCCRCCAAGTCTGTCCGTTTTGCTTCAATTTCATCGTAAGTCGTCGGAGCTGAAACATTTGAAAATCGTTTTCTTTATTAGATAGGTAAATATTTTTTTTGATTATGCGATGTTCATCATGTGATGTGTGGGAAAAAATACTATTAAACGAGAGTTATGCTTAATAATGTTGTTATAATAAAGTAGATATCTGTATAGGAAAAAAAAATAATTGCATTTATCGACGATTAAGTCTATACCTACTTCTCGAGTATGCAATAATAAAACTATAACACAACAGTGCATAATATATATTATATATACCTTTATGGAAAAACAATGAAGGCCATCAGCGATATAATATCAATAACAACAACAATAATAATCATTTATATCGTTAAATGCGATCTCGTGTTTGCACACATCACAACAATGGTCCCCCAAACAAGGCGTCTATAATAATAACAAATACCTAACCTAACGATTTTTGAGTTGTGAAATATAGACTTAACGTATGGTCGTAGGTATAATATCGTGGCAGTAAACCTCGTAAATTTTGATGATAGATATTACAATAATATGGAGATAGGTGGCTTGGCGTGGTGAGTTGGCTTTTACCAATCGCGGAATGCGACTAGGAGTAACGGTGTGTACTAGTTGCGGTCACCCATCAAAAAGGTTACATACTAGTTGCGGTCACTCAAATAATAATAACTAAGTATACTAAATAATATAATATAATAYAGTTTATATAATAATTAAATATGATATTAAGTAACGGCTACAGCTATTAGCTCCGGGATGGGTAACTAACCACCCGCGTTCATAGTAATTAAAAACCTTGCCACACATACACATGTTTGCTACCTACTGTAACAAACATAACAATCGTAATAAAAACAACCTACCGTACCAAAACTTTACCCCTACAACAGCTAATGGCCTTAGTCGCCGGGATTTAAATTATGATGAATTAAAATTTCAAAATTATCTTTACAACTAGCTTATAAACTTAATTATTA